GTCAAAAGAAAAACAAACTGGGTATTTCTTTTTAAGCTTTCTCTTAGCACAAGAACAATGAAAGACAGAAACCTAAGCCTTTCTGTTTCTTTGTAAACATACAGCCATCAGTTTGAGTTCAGCATAACTGTTCCAGAAGTATTGATCTTTCCTTCTTAATCTTTCTTTCTTCCTCAAATTCCCTTCTAAAATGGCACACACTGCACAGCTAAATTGCTGGATACTTTCTGTAGCCTGGCTGTGATCTTTGACTTGAATTTCTGTATAGGTTTTTATATCTGAATTTTAAATGTGACTATTCCAGTCTGTTCCCATGCAAGAACTCCCAGAACAGTTTCTTTTTCCTACAGGTTTTCGTCATTTTGTGTCTTAATGCCCTGTCTGGCATTCACAAGTGTGGTCTTGCCTTGTTCATAGCGGTTCAGAAGATTGCAGCTGGGATTAAGCCTTTGAACCTTCCACCCCCTTTGAATCTTTCTATTGGTTCCCATTCTCAGTCGCATCAAACACTCAGCCATTTTGGTTTCAAGGTCCCCTAAGATTTACTGTCTGTATGCATAATTTTTCTTGTGCTAGCAAAATGCCAGCTTCTTTTCTCCAGTAAAGCAGTGGTGATATCTTTTGTCTTCACCCTTTTGTTATTTTCAAATGAATATTGTTTGTAAGGATTTTCACCAGTGCTGCAGTGTTGTTGGGGTTCTCCATAAATATCTGTAAAGCTGCCCTTCAAACTTCTTAAGGTTCTTCTTTAAGACAATGCCTAGGGAGAAATGAGAAATGATGGAATATCTTGGATTCTATCACTATGAACAATATTCTCTCATCACTTCCTCACGTGTTCCTCTTTATTTTCCATCTGCATCCACTTGTCTTTCCCCCCTGCCCCCTTCATGGTTAGGCTGGGTAGCTTTTGAGCTCCCCTTCTCCTCTCTGTTGGCCTGCAGTGTGTGTTGCTCAGGAGACCCCCTGTCCCTCTGTGTCCCACTTCTTTGTGCTCCAGAGTACAAATACAAAAATGACTGTATATCCTGTTTCATACAGGACATAGTGAGGCTGGGAGATCAATAGCTGCAGATTATCACTATGGCCAAACTTTTGAGGAGTCTAGAAATGATGTATTTATGTTGTGTAGTAAGAATGCCTAGAGTTGCGTTATTTCTAAGTAGGAAAAAACCCCTCTCTTCTCTAGGAGAAGAGTTCGATAAACCTTGTTCTTCAGGGGATAGGTTGATCAACTGATGGGAAGAAGTGCACTTTTTGAGAAGGACATCTGTCAGCTTCCTACTGCACACTGTTTTGCAATGTTGTCTGAAACAAAGATTAGTGAGAACTTCAACTGGAATAAGTTGCAGGAGGGCCCAGCTCTGAGCCCCACTTTTTCCTCTTTTGAAATTTACAAAGGACTTGGCTGGGAGTCAAGCCTGATTGTGATTCTCTGGAGTTTTGGGACAGGACCTTAACACTTGCCAATAAGGAATCAGATAATTTCATTATACTGTGAAGCAAAATTGCATTTTAAAACATCAACAATAGACGTGAAATGAAATTGCTGCTTATAGTTAGTGCTACTTTAAGCATCTGGTACTGGTTACTTCTAGAAATATGTTATTGGATTAAGTGGATCATTGATCTGATCAGTCACAGCAGTTTGTGTATTCCTGTCAAAAAACTGTTGCTGTTGCAGAGGAATTATTTTTAATTATTGGAAGGGTATTAAAAAAATGACATATAGAGGTTGAGATGAGGAAGCTAGTTCTTGACTTGCTTTGAAGGCAGTCTGCTGTCTCGCCTAATAAGCTTTTAATGGTGGAATGGTTAAACTGGGAAACAGGCCAAGAACAAAGTGAAGAGAATGTAACGTCCCTGGTTGTAGGGCTGGTGGTTCATAGTGCACTAGGACTGGCAGGTCCCAGTAACACAGCTATTACATCCCATTAATTAAAGTGCTGTTAGGGTAAAAGTGACTTTCATGGACTGTTTTAATTTATTCCAATCCATAATTCTGCAAACAGTTGTAATATTTTGCCGTCTGATATCTTCTCTGCTACTTTCTCCTTCTTAATGAAGGACAAATTTCAAATACTGTATGTTGTAAAGCAACAAATTGTAGAAGATCAATGTAAATGAGGAGGTCTTAGTGCCTTATAATTTTAGTTGATTAAAATATGTTGGAAGATTATCTGTCCTGTGTTAGGTTCATAGTAATGTAATGCTGCCTAAGAGACATAAAGCATGTGCATGCTCTCTCTTTCTCTCTTTCACTTTCATATTTGTTAGGATTAGTATTAAATTCCCCTAGTTGTATTTAGTAATGCTTGTGACTCTTTTGTGCTTTGTGACTGAAAATTCATCATAACCAGTGCCTAATCTGCAGCTTTGATTTGGGTTCTTACTGTAATCACATTTTAAACATGCACTGGCCCTGTTTGAAGGGTCCTTCAAAAGTTGTTTTTTCACTACAGATCTGGATTTTAAAGTTGCAAACAAGTTGTTGAAAGCTGCTGAAATGGCATTCCGTCTAATTAGTTCTTTTCCTCAGCCTTATCTGCCCACAAAGGAGAGGACACGTCCCAGTTCAGTCATGCAACTGGCTGAAAGCCTGAAACAGATCCCAAGCCGAGCCTTGAGCTTCCATTCTTCTGTGGCTTGGGGATTGCAGCTATGGTTTTTGTCTCTATTTTGGTTCAGGTAGAATTTGAAAGGAATGTGTCCCTAGGAGAAACGATATGTGTATTGCCTAAATTGGGACAAGGGAGGCCAAGTCACTGGATTTGTAGATCTGTGCTGCCACTGGCAACTCGCTTATCCTCCTGTGCCTCAATTCCCACATCTGGGAAGTGGAGCTAACATCTCGATTTGCAAACATAAATGACATCTCATGTGTCTGACTCAAGGCACTTTGAAATTTTTTGGGAAGGCATCTCTCTGTGTACAATGGTGACAATAATTCCTTTGGTTAAACCTTTTGGGGGTTGCAGTTGTGGGCAATCTGTCTGGAGCAACAAGGTGCTCTGTTGCTCTCATGAGCAAGAGTGAACTCAGGAATACAAAGTACAGGAAAATCTTGATAGGTTTATTACAGTTAATTATTAAAGGAACCTTGTATTAAAGACCTTTATGCAAAATATCTCCCTACTTTGTTTTCTATAAATAAAGAAGCCTGTCTCATCTCTACAGAGAATGAAAATCTTAATGACTTCAGTAGAGAAACAGCCCAGAAAGCTGAATATTTGAGTCCCCCTTTGTTTCTCTAAAACATGGATTTTGCTTACAGCTCATAAAACTGCTGAGGTCAAAAGTTCTGTAAATAGCAGATCTCCATAGTACTCCAGAACCTGATACCTGATGTATTTTAATTAGATGCTTTCCAGCTGTGAAGCCCTATGTGAGTGGCCCATTCTTAACTGATGAAGTGTAAAATGGGGATCTTTTGGGCAAAGCAGCTTTCTTGTACCTTTATAATAGCCTTGTCCCTGCAAGTGGCGGTTCCTATTTGTCTGCCAGTGACCTTTCTTTGTCTTTGTTGGTTTCTGGTGAAGCAGTGGCTGTTGACTGGAGTATTGGCTCTGAAGATTGAGAATGAGGAAATGTTTATGCTCTGTCACAGATTATTTATTCTTTTATTTCTTTCCTGAATGATCCCCAGCCAGTCACTTAATCTCTTTATAAACTGGCCTTTCATGTCTGAAGTCAAGACTGTAGGCTCGCTGCCTTGCTGGAACCTGTGTCGAAGCATCTGAACTGCTCAGCCTTTTCAGCAGTGTGGACAAAAAGAAACTAGAGGTTTTTCTACATAAACCTTAATGTGAAAATATGGTGGGGGATACTTCAGGGATGGTTTTTTTCATTTTCATTTGTAAATACAATTTTTTAAAGCCCTCCAACTATCAGTCTCATTTACTCAGAACTTCCACTGACCTTTAATGTGGTAGGAAGCTCACCAATACTATGCCACAGATATTAGCAGACTGTACAATTAGATCCTGAGCATGCTAGAACCTAGATACTAGCTTTGTTTTATTCTCATGTATTAAATTTATACAGTGCTAAAAAATCCTGCAATTTACAGACTAATTAATGAAAGGATTTAATGACCAGGAGTCAAATCCTGCTGTTGTCATTCATTACAGGGTATTCTTCTATGGTTAATTCTGTTCTGAATAAATGTCCACAAATTTGTAGTTTCTCACAAATTGTACTAGAGGACAAACATTTGCATTCTATAAAAATAGTGATTCTGTGAAATTCATTCACACAGAGTACTGTACTTGGCTGACATAATCTTCAAAATGGCCTGACCTTGTAAGCACAGGCAAATCTAAAATACATATTCAGTGGAAAAATCAGTGGTTCTTGTTCTCTGAAGTTTAGTGTTTTGTTTTACAATGTCATTCAGTCTTTGAGGATGCATTCTGGAGAGATTAAAGCAAGCAGTTTGATCAGCAATAACATATTTGGGAGTTATAACCTTAGAAGCAGTAGGTTATTTTGCACTAATGTGTTTTTCCCATAGAAGACATGAACTTTTGTGCTGCTGTATTGGTAATATTTATTATCAACCTGCATTGTTTCTAGCTTAAAGTAGGACCCTCACTCTGGTGAACACTGTATAAAAAAAAAGAAAATAGGCAGCATGTGCCCTGAATGGATTACTGTTTAAGCATCAGTATTGCCAATAGAACTTCATTAAAAATATAAATCTTGATCTTGCAGCAAATGGGTGTTTTGCAGTTGATCTGAGAAAAGCAAAGGCTTCAGTAATTACCTTTTTTTGGTAGAGATTCTTTTCAACATCTGAATGGAATTTAGTTGTTTGAAACCATCAACATATCACCTTAGATAGAACATACAGTATATGAACTCAGCTCTGCTCTCTGCTTTGTCTCACAAGCGCAACACCATTTTTTTGGTTTGAAAATAAGTGGCATATTGGCATAGATACCTTCCAGTTGTAAATTCTGCTTTTAAAATTGAATACTGTCTTTTTTGTGTTTCTTCAGGTTTAGCTGGAAAGATTATAAAAGCCATCATCAATGAAGGATTTCAGATCTCAGCTTTGCAGATGGTAGGTTTCCTTTTGTGTATGTTTTTCTGATAAACAGAAGTTGGAGAAATGCTGTATGCGCTTCACAGCAATGCACAGGTGTCTTCCTGCAACACAAAACCCTTGTGAAGACTGTGTAGCAATGTTTTGGGATCAGCATTGTCCTTGTGATATTTGTGTTTTATTATTTGATTGATCAGCTGATCTGTCTCTCATTGCTGGGTGACCTTGAGCCAAGTTACTTTACCTCTCTGTCTCTCAGTTTCCCTATAGTTATAAGGGGGATAATGATAGTCTGTCTCTTCTGCAGCAATTTGAGATATCTTTACAAAATATACTATCTAAGATTAGAGAAATTATTGTTCCTTAATTTTTTAAAATATATATTTACTATGAATTTAGTGGAAGGTTTTTAAAGATACTTTAAAGGATTTTGACACCCTGATCACCCTCAGCAGTTAAAGGAAGTTGGCACAGAGGTTGTTCCCAAGAGTAGTCCTGTAAGTCCTGCCCTTTGATTTTTTTGAAAGTGTTGAGATCTGAAATCCCCCTATGACTCAAATCCCCACCACAAATGAAGAATAGCCCCTTTCCTTTACTGTGCAACAAACAGATCCTCTTGCATGTCTTAGTGGTATCATCCAACACTACATTGTCTACTTATATTTAAGGTGGAAGAAGATACTGTGTGCTATGTTGCCTGTTGTGTCATTTTCTAAGTTGTTGACAAACTTCATATTGCAGCTGTAAAGCCATTCCTTTTACCTAGTAAAACCTAAAAGAGTAGTCTGAATGTTTGCTAGTTAAGAAAGGTTGTCTATTTTTGTTGTTGTTGTTGCTTAAGGCAGACTGGCTAACATTTTTGTTTTCTTAGTTCAACATGGAGCGTGCAAATGTGGAAGAATTTTATGAGATTTACAAAGGTGTTGTCGCTGAATATATGGTAAGCATAAGTTTGAAAAGAATCTGTTTAAAAATAAAATACAATTAAATGAGGAAACGGTCACATCTTTCCTTTTTTTGGATTGTGACAGGATTTCTTTTAAGAACTGGTCTTGACCGGTTCTAGCTTGTTCTCAAATAAACTAACTCATCTTGAAAATTGTGCTGTCTGTGTTGTAAGAAAGGAGAGTCTTTTGTGAAAATTGTTCAGCCAAGGAATTTGTAAAATACAACAGAGTGAAACCCACCCTACCTCAGATAAGTTATTTTATTGTGGTAGAGCTATGAGAATGTGTCACATCTGTATCTTTGATTTGATATTGCAATAGTGGCTTGGACCAGAATATATATATATTTATTATTGTGTTTACAATGGGGCTGCTGTATTTGAATGCTTTCCTAATGACATTTTGAGCTATTCGTAAGTTTATTGGCCTGACTTCTGTGGATCTTCAGAAAATTTAAAAAGTTTAAGATATGCTGTAATCCCAGTGGACTTTTAAGACTATATATCTTATTATGCCTTGTTGTACCATCACATGAAACTTCCTGACTGTAGATAGAAGAATGGGAATACAAGAAGACGAGCTTGCATTTCTGTATCACCTTCCATCAGAGGATTTTGGTTCATTTTACAAATAGTAATGAGTTTAGTTTCACTGCCATGCTATGTACTATGCAAATTATCCTTAATTTTAAAATGGATAAATTATTAAAAGATTTCTACACAGTTACTAATATTACTCTGATAATGACATTTTAATTTTCTTTTCCCCCCTTATGGTTGTTTAGTCTAACTTACTTCAACAGGGTTTGTAGATTTGCCTTTAAATAGGTTTAGGAGTACTGTTAGTTCACTCTCAGATTGGGGAATACTCTTAAAGTCTCCTCTGATAACACTATTTTTGACAAGGACCAAAGGAAGATTGGACAGGCAGACATGTAGGTACGTGGCAAAATTCAAATATGGTAATATCTGACCAGTATTTCAGGACCTGAAGAATCCCATGGTACTGCAGAAGTCTCTGCTTTGAACCAAACCGGAAATTCTCTACCATCTTCTGTGGTTCTTTTGTACAATCTCTGAACCCCTAATAAGTTGCAAATTTTAGTTACATAATTTAATTGGAGAGTTACTCAGAAGGGAAGGTGACATTTAAACAGGGTAAGTCAATAAAGAAGATATGGTTTAGATGGGATTTGAAGAAAAGTGAGAATCTAGGGCTCTGTCCTGCAAGCCATATGTGCTGGATGCACTCAGCTGAAATGAAATTAATATCTCTGTGCACTCAGGATATCTGTGAAACAGGAAAACGTGGGAAAGCTAATCATGATGGTAAAGGGATCCAGAGAAGGCACATATGGGAACAGCAATAGATAGTGTCAGTGCAGGCCAAATAGGAAGAAGTATGTTGCAAAATAGGATATTGAAGAAAGAATGTGACCTCTTATATCTGTGACTCAGAACCGTCTGTTTTGATCTGAATTTTATTTACCATTCCAAAATAACTCAGCACAGAAGATACTTGGCATCCAGAAATCCTTTTCAAAAACTGTATACCCATTTCTTCTGGTTACCCCTTGACAGTCAGATAAAGGCTTGACATTGCATATAAAGCACTTCTCTGTGAAAAGAGAAAGCTGAACAATTGCACAAAATTTTAGCTTTGTTGGTGTCTCCTGCGTGGGATTTTGCATACTGTTGATCAGGTTTTGTGCTGTTTTGCTTTGTATTTTCTACTGTAGCCAGAATAGAAAATGGGGAAAAAAGGAGGGAGATTGTTTTGGGTCAGCTCAGAATCTACTTTGTTAATCAAAAATGCTTAAGCTTAATCCAGCTCCAGGAATGGTTTTGGTTGACCACAAACCATGTTATTTGATGAATAAACTATTTGCTAAAGAAAATTTGATTTAGCTGTAACTGGGAGTCTTACCAGAGAAACAATGTCTGCTATTTAAATTCAACTCTGGACTTGATGAGGCTGTGTAAGGTAGACCAAGCTTGTCTCACATAGTACCACCTTCCTCTGTGCTGTAGTTGATGGGAGCTGGTCTTCAGTCCTCAGCTTTGTGTTGTAATGAAGGAGTCAGGAGAAACTTTGCCCACATTTGCTGTTGCTGGTGGGATGTCAGTGCTGATACAGAAACAACAGAAAAAGGAGGAACAAGAAAAACCACAGTTTACAGGGAGGAATTCAGTTGATTCAACTAAAGTTAGAAGCCTGGTTTTCCTCTTAGCTGTTATTTAGATGACAGAATTCAATGAAATTGTACGGAGTAGTGACTTTGTGGCAATTTACTGTTTCTTAACAGAATGAAATATATTGCCCTTTGACCTGTTCTTAACAGAGGATCTGTTGGTGATAAGACAGTTTTTGGAATTAAAATATTTATTCATTTGGTAGAATATGAAACTAGTCTGCACTCTTTTCATGTCCTCTCAGGAATACCTCTACCTACACTTCCTAGGATCAGGTTGATGATGGAGGCGCTTGGCTAAAATTCCATCCCATTGATTTCAGAGTGGGGAGATTAAGCACATGCTCTCATCATGGAATCTGTTATGAAGATAGTAACTTTTTGGAATAATGCTGCTTGACTTGGAGTCTTTGTCTATTTGGTTTCCATCACAATTCATAAAAGGCAGAGAGGGACTTAATCCTTCTTTTTCTACTGCTTTTTTGCCCACTCTGTATGCTCTTGTTCTTTGCCATGGCTCATCCTTGACCTGCCCATGGCTGGTAGGCATGATTGCAGTACCTTGCTTGTCCTTCCCTGTCCTCCCTTATTTCTTGTGAATGTTTTTTCCTTTCCTCTTTCCTCATTGGTTTTGGTTCTTTTCATTGTCCTGATTTGTTTAAAACTGGTCTACCCAGATTTCTAGACAAGTATGCAATTATAAGGCCATGATTTAAAAAAGGAAATCAGACAAGAACATCAAAATAGATTCTTTCTGCTTGTGAAACCTAAAAGGAAGTCAGACTAGAACATCAAAATAGATTCTTTCTGCTTGTGAAACCTATACCTCTAATTAACAAACTCCAAATTGGCACTAATGCCCAGAGTTAATTTAAGCTTATGAAAACTAAGACCCATCTTCATCACCCACTCAGAACTCACAATGTCTCTTTACTCTCCAGGAGGCTCCAGGGAAAAAGATGATTTTGGTGTAACTGAGATTCTGGTTAACAGTATACCACAAGAATGTTGCCAGATCAAGGACCCTTACCCTAACAGGTTGTGTCACAGGCACAGGTTCTGTTGGATTGTGTATTTCAGCTTCTGTAGTAATACATGAAGAAAAGGCAGTGAGAACCAAAAGCCCAAGGGACATTTTAATGACTTAAAGCCATCAAACAGGTGTATATTTGGAAACAAATATAGGCTATGTACCGTGCTCCCTGTAGGGAACACTGCAAACTGCATTGCTGCCTGTGGAACTGGCTGAACATAGTGTGATTTTTCAGGCTTACACCCAACAAAGTGTGTTCCATTGATTCAGTCTAGTTTGACAAGTTATGGGATATTGCTGTGAAATCCAGGTCTGGATCGATAAGGATGTACCCACAAAAGAATTTAAAGTATTGTGGAAGCTGTTGCATGCTATTTAGCGTCCAGTTAAAGCTGAATATCCAATTTATCTCAATCTCCATCTTCTAAACCAAGTAGCAAAATGGAAAACATGTCTTTTGTTGTGAATACTAATGATATCTTTGTTTCAAGTCTTTGCTTTCCTAAATGCACCAATATTTCTTAATTGTTCCTGTCCTGTAAGTTTGGGTCTAGTTTTGGGGAGGAATACAACCCTTGCTAATGCCCAAAGAAGCTCAGATTTGCCTCTGTCTTTTTTCTCTTCCAGGACATGGTTACAGAGTTGTGTTCAGGCCCTTGCATAGCAATGGAGATTATACAACCTGAGCCTCCAAAAGTGTTCAGAGACTTCTGTGGCCCTTCTGACCCTGTAAGTACTTGCTTGAGTGATAAGGAATGCTTAAAAAGTTGATGTGCTGTCTATGTGAATTAAAAGATCAAAGTGTGGTATGGCAGCCACATACTTGCTGCATGCGTTGGAAACATGTAAGCATTACCTTATTATGGAGGTCAGATGCTAGTCTTAGTGGACCAATTTGCAAATCCTCTAGCAACTCTTCTGATCTTACCTAAACCAGGTGATAAAATACTGTGACAATATTTATGTGAAAGGAAAGCTATCTAGGCAAAAATCTCTGTTAAAGATTCATAAATATTCTAACACAAGGCTTCAGAGCCCTGGAACAAATAGTTATTGCTTGTGCATGCCAATGTAAATTAAATGTTAGTCCACTGCAGTCTGTGGCATTCTCCTAGGATGAAACTGTAGAAGGAGAATTGGTTCCTTTGTTTTTCAGAAGGAAGCGAACAAAAAAGGGTGTAAAAGTTCTCGTACCTGTTTGCTATGCCAATGCTTTTAGCTTTTATTTTTCATTTCTTGAGGTAACTAAATGGATATGCATGACACTGTGTGCAATTTGGAGACAAGCATAAGTGCTGTCTCAAAAAAGCTTGCAGTTTTTTGTTGAACAATGAAGGCTACTATACCACACAGGAGCCATGAGGTGAAATATCAAGATGGAGGCAATGAGGGTAGGGTTTGTATGGTTTTTTTGGTTATGATCTGATGTTTTAGTTGCAGACCGAGTGGGTTTACCAGTTTCCATGGAAAAAAATCACACAGATTAATATTTGAAGGGGAGAACACATTGTTCAGGATGTATTTTTCTTCAGATCCAGAGCTTCCATTACAGAAAGTACAAGTTAAAGGCATTATCCAAACCTTTTTTTCACCTTCCATTTGGTAACATTCAAATGTTTCTCTGCTGGGTTAGCACCTTGTAAGCAGAGCATAACCTGTTTATCTGACTTAGTTTTAACTGCAGGATGATATATCAGTGGTAATGTACACAATGTGGTGGTTTCAGTTTTTTTTCAAATTCCGTGTTAAAGGTTTCTGATCTTGAAAACTTTCAAAGATGCAGTTGTTTTATTTGGGCCTATTATATCCTTTTCATGTTTCTGCTTGTTTAATGCCTGATACTTTAAAATCAAAATATGCTTGCAAACATCACAGCTGCTTTAGGTTATTAAAGACAAGTGTACCTATACAAGAGGAATTTCTCTATTTTCCCTTACTACATCACATGAACAGCTCTGTCGTAGCCATACAACATGTGTGTGACCAAAGGAATTGTTGATGAGCTGGGGAACTGAGGGTTGTATAAACTGATGGCTTCTCTGGGTAGCACAAGAAAACAGCAAAGGAGGGAACTAAAATTCCTGTCTCCCAGATCTCTTGCTAGTGACCTACCTATGCTGTTTGTGTTTCCCTTTTAATGGTTAATTGTGTGACTTGTGTGACTTGTGAAGTGAAAATGAGTACCTGCCTGCTTCTAGTGGAAGCAGGCAACTGTAAGTTTTGGACACTGACTTCGTAGCAGTTACACTAATGGTATGTTTGGAAGATAGGCAGCGTTATATATTTCTGTCTACTGTTTCCTATAAGGATTGCAAATTAATTGGTTCTTCAGGCACATAAAGCATATGTACAGTAACTATAGCTACTTTCAAGAGTTATCTTTGCCTGAAATTTATCTGTCTGTTCAGATAGCATTTGTAGATTGTCCTTGAGGAAGAAGGGACTACGGTATCTCAGTGGTCTTTTGTCATTCCCAGCCGGAATCACCAGAGAAGCTCACAACTGAACTTTGTGGTTACAATATCTGCCTCAAATAGGAGTAGCGGAAACCATAACAGCAGTTTCATTATCTAGCAAGGTTATACACAGACCATGAAGATACCATGGACTTGTTATTCTAGTGATTAAAGTAAATCTAAGTGTCGTGCACATAGTGCATTATCACTGAGAGATGTTAATCTCTCTAACTTGTTTGTTTGTTTGTTCATATATGCTAGATCCTGATGTGTGTACAGCCTGTTTATAAACACAGGTGAAGAGCAAATTTACTATAAAATGCACTTTACTGGGTCACTTTGGCTCCTGTTAAATAGTACCCTATTTAGCAAGTAGTGCCATAGAAATCACTGTGATTACGCTCAAAGCAAGGTGCTGTTTGAAGTGAGTGAACGTGTTGGAATTTGACTTATATAATGAATCTCTCCCAATCACATGTGCTGTTAATTATATCTTACGTACATAGCAAATGTAATAATTACTTTGTGGCAACTCAGATATCTAAACTGGGTATGAATGTTAACAGCCTTTTCAGTCTGTTCTTGGTTTTGCAGGGAGGCGGTTGGGGTACACATCAATAAAAGGCACCCAAAAAGAGGTGATATAAATTTTCTCGAATCAAAGCGAGATGTAATTTGGAAATAGGTCTGGTTTTGTCCAAGTCCGTGATGTTTAGGGCTGAAGAAAGAATTACAGTTTTTCCATTTTGAAGATTATGCTTTAATAAGCTAGCAATTTATACCAAGTGTACTTTGTGCTATTTTCTCTAACTGAGTAGTATTTTGTTAGCACTGCAGGTCAGTAAAGCTCTCTGCCAAAAGTACCCTTCATTATAAACCAGCTTATAAATACTTTGTTTAAACCTCTCGTGTGGTAGTAGGGAAGACTGCTAACCAAAAACCTGTTTTGAGCCTCTCTGTGGTAGTGTACAAACAGCCTATCAAATATGGAAAGCAGGCAGTGGGATAAAGATACTTGTCTGCAAGGAGCTGTGCTGGACATGCTCACTCTCAAAATTACTGTGACCTGATTGAAGGGCTCATTGTCACAGGTCGCAGGCTTGTGGAACATTTGTTCCCGGTGGCTAGTATATGCACTAGGAGAAATGCTTTTCTGCAGATCTTGCTGCTGCTTACATTTTTGTTGTACACTGGCACTTTTCTAATGAGTGGCCAGCTGGGTCACTGCACTCTTGGTGAACTGTCAGCATCTTTAAGTACACTTGGCTTAAGCTCCTGGAGTGCAGCTGGATTTTTTTGTATCATTGGTGGCCTCATCTGAGGCCTTTCTGTAATCTTTCAGATCAGCTGTGATGCTTGTTTATCTTGTCTTCCAATTGCAGCCTCTAGTTTAGCTGTTCCTCAAAGCCAGGTCCCAGACTACTTGTGTGACTTGCTCTGGGTGTTGCTCTGCGCCTCATTCTCTCTGTGCTGGAACGTGTCTGTGGCCAACATGTAGGGTTTAGAAATGGAAGGCACTCTCCACATCTACTATAATAAACATGTATTTGTGCTTTACTTACTGTTGCAACACCCCTGTAAAAGGCCAGCAGCCGTTCTGATACCCATCTTGAGAATACTGTTTCTTTACAACATTAATAAGGGCTGTGTAAAAAAGATCTCCAGGTTCCACACAAGACTGTAGCTTTTCAAGGAGGGGAAGCACCCACAGCCTCTGCTGTGCACCCAAACTAGGAGGTTTGGGAAATTGAGATTCTATGAGCAGCTGAGCACTTCTATTTGGGTAGTTAAATTTCAGATAGGAATGGGATTTCTGAAATGACTTTGAATTCCACTGATTTTCCATAGGGTGTTTGAATCATTTAAACCCTTTTTCAAAATATAGTATAAAATCTTGTAATGCAGGTTGTTAAATTACATTTTTCATGCTGGGTGCTATTTCAGTCTGTTTCTACTGGTGCAGTTCTGACATTGAGAGAAAAAAAATTACACTTATGGCAAAGAGGTGACTGCTCTAGAAAGCTAGGAAGAGGAGTTAAAAAGTTAATTAAATCAGATTACTAAAGAACACAAACTTGAACTTTTGATACACACTATCACTTCGAAATAAGAGTTGCTAACTGCAACCAAAGTTCAACAGAAAAGAAGCTATGTTTCTCCATTGTAAAGAAATGAAAGTGGTTGGAGAGGGGTAGGGGTAAATACAGCACAGTGTGCACTATCAAGAAAGCTGTTTTGTTTAAGTGCGGTAAGAAAAAAATCCGCAAACTATTCTGCATTGATTTGACATTGTTTCATGTGAATCAGAAAGCAAAGGCTCTAACGGAAAACCTTGGAACAGGGGGATGGTGGCCAGGGAATCCTGTCACTGCTTGAGCTTGCTGACATCAATGTTTCCTTTGATTGGTGTTTGTGTGTTTTTGGCCTCTGGAGCACTTGGAGGCCTTTTCTTATTACCTTGTTCAGACCTAAGTCTGAAGCTACAGCTGCAGTTTTCACATCTTCATGCAGCCTCTATGTTGAAATAGCTAGTAAAATGAGATGATTATGCGGTATTCATACAACACTTGTAAAATGCTGTAGAAATTAGATATATTGCTTTTTTTTTTATTTTTACCTTTCTTTTGAACTTTCTTTATGCACAAATGAAAAGGTTGGTTATAACATGTGATTCCAGGAGTCTACATCAGCTATGTGTTCCTGGCTGACTGCATAACTTTTAGTAGCCTTAATAGCTTTTAGTTAGGATTGGCAGTACACTAAAAGTGACTCAAGTACCTTCTGCTGTGAGATATTATTAAAGTGATGGGACATGCTGCAATATTTCTGCATCCAGTGGTCTGGAAAGGGATTTTCGTTACTTGCTTTAGATCTTAACCTGCATTCTTTTTACATTGAGGATTTGTAATTTTAACGGTAACAGTGTATTAACAGTCTTTTGTACTTCTGCATCAACACCAAAGAGCTAAACAGAAGATTAGAAGGTTTAAAAAAAAGCGGTGAACTGAAAGAGGTGGAGTCTGCTTTAGCTCCGTTCCTGACCTCACTGTGTGACCTTGGACAAAAAGTTCAATATGTTTCTGCCTCAGTTATCACGTCAGTTAAATAGGGATAACAATATGAGCCAAAGAGCACTGTTGCTGTAAGATTTTTTTGTTTGTATAGACCTTCTGTGAATCTCTAGCACTGAAAAGTATCTACATGTGTGGCCGAAAATGTTCATGTTCATTCCTAGAGCTACATTAGCAGCACCACATTTTCATATTGCATCAA